AAAAAAAAATTTTTGCTTTGAAAAGATAGAGAATTTTTTTCCCGATAAAAATGACACCAAAAGTATGAAATTTGATGGAAAACTTACGGAATTATGCTCTCGCAAAGTTAGCAGTCTCAACGATGTTTACGCATCGGCGATTTTGCCCACTTTGAGCCCTATTTTCGGCCAATTCCAGTGTACTTGTCAACAAAAATTGTAACTATTTCGCAAGAGCTCCATTTTTTTCTATCGAATGAGTACAAGAAACCACCCATTTACTGATTTCAACTATCCATCACAGTGGTCAGAATTTAACAATTTTGCCAATTTCACACAAATTTCATAAGATGCCACTTTCCGAATAGGGTCCAGAATAAACAAGAAAGACATTCCTGGCACTAAAATAAACATTTCCTCTGTTCATTAGTCACGTCCCCATGCCTCTCTTACATTCTTTTGCTTTCCACTTTAAATTTTTCTCACAAAAAAATAGAAGATTTACTGCTATGCAGACTACTGCATTAGTGTAGAAATGGTATAAATAGTATCAGCGCATTTGTGAAAGAATATTAGACTCACCAGTTGACGTGTATTGGACGCATAGCATGATTTGTTTACTTTTGAACTTTGATAAAAATCGAACATTTCTGCTACTTTGAGCTCAATTTCAAGGTACTTTTCATTGTAAAACCAGTCAAAATCATTATAATTTCTGTAATATGTCTTCCATTCTATAAAATGAGACCAGGAAAACTAGAATACAACAATACAATGCAAAGTCGCTGTTTTAATCCAAAAACATGGTCAAAGTTTTTTTTCTCATTACGCACTGTGTGCTGCAGGATTTTTTTTTATACCACCCACACTGACCACATAGACCCATTCTTTCATATGTAGGCCTACCAGTTTTCTCTCACTAGATTTGAATGTGCTAGAATTTAGGCGTACTAGAACGTCAAAAACCCTGGTGCTTAAGCCGTACTAGTACGGCCGAAACCCTGAAAGAGTTAAAGAGAAAAAAAAATAAAATTGTTATATTCTATAGGTCTTACAAGAATCCTTTTTCAACAAATTTGGTAAGATGTACAATGTTCCAGCTGACATCAGACGAAAGATAAAGAGATAGATAATCATCCTAGAGAGGGAAATAAGCGAAATGTCAACAGATTTCATTATACGAAATGTTGAAATTTGCTTTTTTTTTTTTTTTTGAGGAAAAAAAAATCCATAAAACCAAAATGGTAATACATATCACAAATCCCCTCTCCTGGATTAAAGAACAATCATTCCTCAATAATGTGTGAAAAAATCCTGATGTTCCTATAAAAACTCTTCGCAATAAAAGGAAAATAAAATCAATAACTTATTCCTGAGTTATTCACATACATAGTTTGCATGAAACTCTAGGGTGGCCGTGCGCCACCTTTCACCAACCATCACAGCTCCACTCTCATCGGCAACTCATAAGTCACTGAGGTATGGTGGTGTGCGCAGTGATCACTAGGCGACTCAGGAGGTGCAAACAAGTACATATATTTGGATAAAAAACAATCATAAAAATCGTAATTTCTGGAGTAAAAAAAAAAAAAAAAAAGAAAACACCCGAATTGGCATCCTGTCGTCTTGACCTCAGCAACAACAACAAAAAAAAAAAGATTGAAAAAGATACTTAGAAATGTACTAGAAACAAGCTGATTACATGAAAATGATGCCAGAATTATGCACTATTTTTTGGTAAGAAAACGTTTTTTCAAAATTTTTCGATTTTTTTCAGATATAAGTCTCGCAGAACGTTCCTCCCCCCTTAAGTACATTTTCTTGTCCATGACAATTTAATAAGTTAGCACTTCTTCATACACTATATAGACAATGTAAAATGAAATATGCTTGTGATTAAATTAAGTAAGTGAGGCAACAAATTAATTAATGGAAGAACTATTAATCTAATACTTTAAGTCACCTTTGTTATTCCAAGTTTCTTGGTGAGCTTCTCTGTATGTAAACTTGGTGGTTCATACACAACTTCCCCAAATTCAATCTTGTCTTGATAATATGAGAATTCATCATCATCATCATCATTACTGTTCTTCTTTCTCTTTTGTCTTCTCCGTAGATCACGTTCCTGAAAGTAGTTCATTTCTTTATTTAACACTAATTAAGTTGGTAGATAAATTTAAGAGGGCATAGTTCTGGAAAGACAGAGAATGAATGAATTATGGTGAATGTGTTTTCTTCTTTGGGTCACAGTGCCTTGGTGGGAGATGGCCACTGAGGTAAAAAAAAAGGCAAGTAAAAGTAGGAAACAAAGTGAATGCAGAAAAGAAAAAAAGCAAGGTGATGAGGGGAACAAAAGAAGTCTAAGCAATGATATGTTAAATATCAGACTGGAGGGAGGGAGTTATGGAGGAAGTAGATGTATTTAGAGATTTGGGGTGGAAATGTTATGTTAGCAGATAATAATAATAATAATAATAACAATAATAATAATAATATTAATAATAATAATAATGGGAGCAAGGGGCTAGTAACCCTTCTCCTGTATACATTACTAAAATTAAAAAGAGAAACTTATGTTTTTCTTTTTTGGGTCACCCTGCTTCAGTGTGATGTTGCCGGTGCGTTGAAAGAAAGAATAATAATACAGTGCAATCCCGGATTTCATACTTAATCTGTTTCAGAAAGTCATTCTAAACCTGAAACATACGAAAACCGAAGTACAGTGGACCCTCAATTAACGATTTTAATCTGTTCCAGAGAGCCTGTCCTTAACCGATTTTATCATTATCCGATTTAATTTTCCCCACAAGAAATAATGGAAATCCAATTAATCCATTCCTGCTGTCAGGAGGCTTGACAGAATAGTACTTCAATATGATGCTATTATCAACTCTACAGCTTATTTATCTATCACAATTAATCTAATATGACATAAACAATATTAATAGCATAGAAATATGATATATACTCTAGAATGAATAAAATATGTCATAATGTATGTGAGGAGAAAGTGCTGGAAGTGTTGTTGTTGGGTTTATAATGGCCACTGAGAGAAGTACATATTAGTGGTGGAGGAGGCTTCTGCCACCACCATCCACAAACAATATATGTACGTAATTTATAAATAAGAAATATTTACATTTTGATTTATAAATAAGAAATATTTACATTTTAATTTATAAATAAGAAATATTTGCACTTACCTTGGAGGAGATGTTAGTTTAATTACGTAGTTAGTTTAATGGAGTGTAGCAGATATGCAGGGAATGTAGCAGGCATGCAGGGAGTGTAGCAGGCATGCAGGGAGTGTAGCAGGCATGCAGGGAGTGTAGCAGACATGCATGCAAGGAGTGCAGCAGGCATGCAGGGAGTGTAGCAGGCATGCAGGGAGTAGCAGGCATGCAGGGAGTGTAGCAGGCATGCAGGGAGTGTAGCAGGCATGTACGAGGTGAGAGAAAGGCGAGTTTATTATGCTTCAATATGACGCTAGTATCATCTCTACGGCTTATTTATATATCACAATTCATCTAATATGATATAATAAACAATATTAATAACATAGAAACATGATATATAATCTAGAATGAATAAAATATGTCATAATGTATGAGAGAGTAAGTGATAGAAGTGTTGTTGTTGGGCTTATAATGGCCACTGAGAGGAGGCGGCTTCTGCCACCACCACCACTATCCACAAACAATATATGAATGTAATTTATAAATAAGAAATATTCACATTTTAATTTATAAATAAGTACAGTGGACCCTTGGGTAATGATGCCATTGGATAGCGATTAAATTGGTTATCGATGCGTCTTTGCGTAAAAATACTGGCTTGGCCAACGATGAAAAACTTGGTTAGGGACATTCGTTCCGAATGCATCCGCAAGGCTTGGGCCGCCCGCGGCTGCCCAGCCACTATGTACACCCAGTGTGCCATTGTTTACAAGCCAGGGTGGATGGTTGCACGCATACATTCGAAACATTTTGTATTATTCCATTGTTTTTAGTGCTTGTAACTGCTAAATAAGCAACCATGGGCCCAAAGAAAGCTTCTAGTGTCAACCCTGTGGTAAAAAGGGAGAGAAATACTATCAAAATACTATCGTACCACGGTCAGCTGCTGCTGCACCACCGTCAGTTGCTGCTGTACCATGGTCAGCTGCTGCTGCACCACCATCAACTGTTGCTGCACCACCATCAACTGTTGCTGCACCACCATCAGCTGCTGCTGCACCACCATCAGCTGTACTACTCAAAGATGTGGAGAGACTCTTGTTGGTGTGGCTTAACGAGAAACAATTACTGAGAAACAATTAACCCCAGAGGGTTAGCCACCCAGGATAACCCAAGAAAGTCAGTGTGTCATCGAGAACTGTAACTAATTTCCATTAGGGTCCTTAATCTTGTCCCCCAGGATGCGACCCACACCAGTCAACTAACACCCATGTGAACAGGAAAAAATTCCTGGAACTAGTGCTCATATTGGTGAATTTAAGGCCAGCAAAGGTTGGTTTGAGAGATTTAAGAATCATAGTGGCATACACAGTGTGATAAGGCATGGTGAAGCTGAAAAATTCCAACCCCAACAAGTGTTCAATTGTGAAGAAACAAGCCTGTTCTGGAAGAAAATGCCAAACACGACCTACATTACTCAGGAGGAAAAGGCACTCCGAGGACACAAGCCTGTGAAAGACAGGCTAACTCTCATGTTTTGTTGTAATGTTAGTGAGGATTGCAAAGTGAAGCCTTTACTCATGTATCACTCTGAAAATCCCAGAGTGTTCAAGAAAAACAGTGTCTCATCACTCATCAATACTCTTCAATAAAGGTGTCATTTTAGTACAGTGGACCCTCGGTTTACGATCACCTCCCAATGCGACCAATTATCTAAGTGCATTTATGTAGGTGCGTTTGTACGTGTATGTTTGGGGGTCTGAAATAGACTAATCTAATTCACAATATTTCTTATGGGAACAAATTCGTTCAGTACTGGCACCTGAACATACTTCTGGAATGAAATAATATCGTAAACCGGGGGTCCACTGTATTTATTTATGTATTTATTCTGCATGTCTCATTGTTTTCTGTGTAAGGAAATGTATATTTCATGTAAAAAAATTTTTTTTTTTTTTTAATACTTTTGGGCATCTGGAATGGATTAATTGGATTTCCATTATTTCTTAAGGGGAAAATTAATTTGGCTAACAATAAAATCGGTTAAGGACAAGCTCTCTGGTACGGATTAAAATCGTTACCCGAGGGTCCACTAAGTAAGTTTATTCAGGTATACACAAATACAGTTATGTACATAGATTATCATACATAGCAGCATATGTGTAAAGTACCTAAGATAACCCAAAAAGTCAGAGTGACTTATTTCCATTGGGGTCCTTTTATATTTACACTTACCTTGCAGAAGATGTTAGTTTAATTAGTTAGTTTGATGGAGGAGATGCTGGCAGAGGTTTAGGGTGGTGGAAGATATGTAGCAGGCCAGCATATGTTCAGTGGCCCGATACATATTCAACAACACTGGAGAGTTACTTTCGTGTCGTTTTTCTTTCGCTTACTCGCTTAACTTACTTGCTACACTGTTAATTCTACACTTTATCACTGGCTGGCACTATAGCCTTTATCGATACCTGCTGCTTTAGTATCGTACATATCGTAGAATCACTGCAGAAGGCACAGTCTCCCTCTCTCTTCCTCCTCCACTTTGGTAATTTACTATGAGATTTTTCTTGAATTTTATTGTGTTTCTTTTCTTCTTTATCACAGGACTGGCACTAGAAACTTTCTTTGGGCCCATGGTGGCTTACTTAGCAGTCACAACCACTAAAAACAATGGAATACAAAATATATCGCATGTACATGTGGAATCGTCCTCCCTGGCTTGTAAACAATGGCACACTATGTTATACAAGGGCTAAGGCCGCGTGGACACGTTTGGGACAAATGTCCTTAACTGAGTTTTTCATCGTTAGCCAAGCCAATATTTTTACGCAAAAAACGCATCGGTATTCGATTTTATCGCTATCCGATGACATCGTTATCTGAGGGTCCACTGTAATATTTCCCGTAAGAAATAATGTAAATCCAATTAATCTGTTCAACACCCAAAAATATTCACAAAAAATTTATTTTTTTAAAAATAACTAGTTTTACATACAGAAAACAATGATAAATAAATATAAAGCACTAATTTTAATGATAAATAAACATTACATACCTTCACTGAAGACTCTTGTTGGCATACTGAAGAAGGTGAGGAGGAGAGAGAGAGAGGGAGTTAGGGTTATTGTTTAAAAGGGGAATCCTCCTCCATAAGGACTTCAGGTATCAAAGCCCTCTCTGGGGTTACTTCCTTCCTTTGTCTTTTACTGGCACTGGACCTCTTGTCACACTAAAAATCTGTCCAGAGAGCTCTGTTCTGGCATCTCTTCAAGATTTGCCTAAAATGGGACAAGGTATTGTCACTGAACATGTTGCAGATACAGCTTGTATCAGCTTGGTCAGGGTGATATTTTTCAACAAAAGTTTGCACCTCATTCCACTTCGCACAAATGTCCTTAATCACTGAAGAAGGAAACTTTCTCCCCTCTCTCTTCCTCTTCTCTCTTCTACAATATCTTTCTTGAATTCTATTCTGTTTCTCACTTTCTTTACCAAAGGGCTGGCATTAGAAACTTTCTTTGTGCCCATGGTGGCTTATTTCGCAGTCACAATAAACAAGCACAAAAATTGCAAAATGTTTTGGATGAATGCTCACTCAACCAGTGATACAGCCAGACTGAGGCGGCATCCCGGCAGGCGGATGTGTCTGATACATACAATTCCTGAGACAAGGTACAATATCCGGAGTAAAATTTCACCCAAAAAAAAAGTGTTCTAAATCTGAAACATAAGATATCCAGTGTGTGCGAAATCTGGGGTTCCACTGCATTTTATTTTGACATGATACGTCAATATTGGCAGTTTGGAGGGATATGTTGTGTATCTTTATATGTGTATGCTTCTAGACTGTTGTATTCTGAGCACCTCTGCAAAAACAGTGATAATGTGCAAGTGTGGTGAAAGTGTTGAATGATGATGAAAGTATTTTCTTTTTGGGGATTTTCTTTCTTTTTTGGGTCACCCTGCCTCGGTGGGAGACGGCCGACTTGTTGAAAAAAAAAAAAAAAAAAAAAAAATGATACGTGTTTATACAAAGGAATATAATAGTTGGGTGCACATGCCAAAAGTCCCTTTATATGCAGAGCATTTCAGGGAAACTGAAAATTAACTTAACGATAATACGGCAATAACAGTACATGTGGTCATTAGGTGAGTTACAATGAATACAAGAGAATTGAGTATTCTATCAGGTCATACTATAAGGCTTTAATAAGTCTTGTAGAGAAGAAGTACAATTTTGATTATAAACCTTTGGCAGCCACAATGGAGTGATTAACATTTGAGATGAATACAGATATTGAGAGTAAGTATATATAGATTATACTGATGAGAAAGTTTACCTATGTTCATGCTATTGAACAAATGGATGTATAGTTTTTACATATGTATTTATGATGGGCTGGGATAGATTAAAGAGATAAGGTGTTTTTTAACTGTAGTTTTAAAAATGCTAGCTGAGCCAGTGGTTCTGGAGATTTCTGGCAGGAAATTCCAGATTTTGGGCCCTTTCATGTACGAGTTTTTGAAAAGATTTAGCCTGACACGGGGAATGTCATAGAGTATTTGTGCCTAGTGTTGTGTCTATGAGTCTGTTGCAACTGTCAAGAAAGTGTTTCAGGTTTGGATTTATATTAGAATTGATTGTTCTGTAAATGTAGGTTGCACAATAGTATGAGTGAATGTTTTGTATAGTGAGTAGGTTTAAGTCTTTGAAGAGTGATGGGGGTGTGTCTAGCAGTGGATTGTGTGATCATTTGCACTGCAGCTTTTTTTTTGTGTTATTATTGATTTTAGGTGGTTTTTTGTTGTGGAACCCCAGGCACAAATAGCATAGGTGAGGTATGGGTAGATCAGTGAATAGTATAGTGTAAGTAGTGCTGTTTTGTAGGTAGTAGGTTGGTAGACAGCAACCGCCCAGGGAGGTACTACCGTCCTGCCAAGTGAGTGTAAAACGAAAGCCTGTAATTGTTTTACATGATGGTAGGATTGCTGGTGTCTTTTGTCTGTCTCATAAATATGCAAAATTACAGGTAAGTCTTGCTACTTCTACTTACACTTAGGTCACACTACACATACATGTACAAGCATATATATACACACCCCTCTGGGTTTTCTTCTATTTTCTTTCTAATTCTTGTTCTTGTTTATTTCCTCTTATCTCCATGGGGAAGTGGAACAGAATTCTTCCTCTGTAAGCCATGCGTGTCGTAAGAGGCGACTAAAATGCCGGGAGCAAGGGGCTAGTAACCCCTTCTCCTGTATATATTACTAAATTTAAAAGGAGAAACTTCAGTTTTTTCTTTTGGGCCACCCCACCTCAGTGGGATACGGCTGGTACGTTGAAAGAAGAAGAAGTAGTGCTGTTTGTGGTACATAGTAATGTATCTTTGAGAGGATGCCAACTGTTTTAGAAACTTTTTTTGTTATGTGTTGGATATGGGTGTTGTTATGTATAATGTTTAGTTGGACCTCACTTGCTCTACTCCCAAACAAAATGTAAAAGGATTTGTCTATATTAAGTGTAAGTTTACTGACGGTCAACCAGGTTGCTATTTTTGCGAGTTCTTTGTTAATGATAATGTTGAGTGAGGCTAGGTTTGGGTGGGAGATGGCAAAAGTCGTGTCGTCAACTGAGTCGATGAAAGATGAGGTGAATCACAGAATAGATGAGGGGGAAAAAGTTGAGTGGTGTTTTGAGGCATCTGCAAAAAGACATTTATCGACCGAGAGAAAAAAAGGGAATGTACTGGAGTATAGTGATACTAACACTTTTATATGAGTGCAAAGCATAGGTTTTGAAGGCTGCAGCAAAAGAGGGAAAAGCAATGGAGATGTCATGCTTGAGAGCAATGTGTGTGTAAATACTATGTATAGAATTCAGAGCATAGAAATTAAAGGAAATGTGGAGTTACCAAGAGTATAATTCAAATGGCTGAGGAAGGGTTGTTGAGATGGTTTGGGCATGTAGGGAAGATGGAGAGGAATAGTGATGAACAGGGTGTATATATGTGGGGAGGAGGGGAGGAAGGATAGGATTTGTCCTAGGAACAGTTGGAGGGAGGGGGGATAAAGGAGGCTTTGAGCTT